TGTACAGTGTGTTTTTTCACACAGTGTTAAAATTTATACTTAAGAAAACATGAGCAATGTGCACATATCCCTACATTTCTATCTATTTTGGGTGGTAGGATCCTTTGGGCACAGGAATTCTAAAACTAGCCTGTACAACATAACAAGACTCTGTCTCAGAATAAATACAGGAACATACATATTAAAAATACTATGAAAATCATATTTATTTGTACTGCAAGACTCTTGGTGAGAAGGAAGGGAAAGTGTGCTCACATCTATTAGTATCCACTACATACCATACTGAAAGGATGCTCACGTTTTTGTTGTACAGATGAGGAGATACTCCAGCCCAATCTGTTTTTGGATATTTGTGCACTGTGTGAAGATGTATTTCTGTGATTGACATAATAAAATGCTGAACAGACAATAGCTAGGAAGGAGACATAGGTGGGTTTCTAAGAGATAGAAAGGGTAAGGAAGAGGAATCTAGGTATGCAGAAGATGCCAGGAGACATGGTGAGGACACAAGGGTGCAAGATGGAAGAGAGGTAATGCCACATGATAAAACACAGATTAGTATAAATGGATTAATTTAAGCTATAAGAGCTAGTTAGGCAAAAGCCTAAGCTATAGGCCAAGCTTTCATAACTAATAATAAATCTCTGTGTGATTATTTGTGAGTTGGCTGGCAGGACAAAAAAGACTCATTACACCAATCCCTATCTGTAGTCTGAATATTTGTCTTTATACCCAAAGGTAAGTATATTCTCATCCTGCATCAAAGAAACTTCTTTTTGCAACAGACAAAGATCATTATAGAAAACCACAACCAAACAAAATGTGGAGTTGTGGAGCCCAGACACAATGGATACATCTACAAAACAACCCACACACCTAAGGTTCATGGAACATTGTAGAAGAGATGGAAAGATTGCTAAAGACAGGAACAGATTATGTATTTTATGAGACTGTATCTCCCATGGATGTCAGAAGCTACACCCACTGGTAAAGTTTTACCAACATGACTGTGCAAACATGAGATGAACAAGGACAACAGTAATAGGTATTACTAAAGTGGGTAGAGGACCCAGCCCTATACAAAGAAATATAGGTAACTAAGGGATTCGGAGATTGGGAGAAATAGCCTTTTTCAAGGAGGACCACAACAACTGGTCATCCAACACCAAATAGTCAGACATGCAAACAAATAACATTATACAGAACTGAGCCTGTTGTATTTATGCATTTAGGAATATGTATCTATTTACATATACATATGTATATAACAATAATTATTGAAAAAGAGTGATTCTGAATTTGAAAGAGGGCAAGAAGGGTTTAGAGGGAGGAAAAGGAAGGAGGTATGATGCAATTAAATTATAATCTCAAAAAATAAAAGAAATAATTATAATGAAAACACAAAGCCAAATGAATTGAACTGATAGCTACACACCAAGATTGTATAACAATAAGAGGACAGTGAAAAACACTGAAAGAGTTGCTAAACTGAAGGATCTGTCTCTTTCATAAAAGGTGTGGATGACCAGACAAATAAACACTAATAAGAACCAACAGTTACTTTGGCAGAGTATCATATTTCTTCTACTACTTTAGCATTATACTTATAACATATGAAGGTTATTTGATCCCCACGGAGTGAACAGAGTGAACAGAGATTTGTCCAGCAAACTTCGATGTCACCTGCAAAGTTTAAAGGCCTGCTCATACTAGTGTAGAAACAGTGGAATAAGCTTTGAAAACATGATGGAATATTCTTTGAAAGCTATGAGGGGATCATTACATTTTGATAGCATCCTCCAAAACCCTCAGATTTTTAAAGTCAGATATCACTCTTGATATCTCCAACATGTCAGGTCTTAGAGAACAGAATGACTTGAAGTTGCAATGAAAACTTTTTAGTTGGAATCCCCATAGCATTATTTACAGATTAATTGTAAATACAGCAAAGAAAAACAAACAACTGGATTCCTTTACCTTATTTCACCTTCTCTAATGTGACCTGCCAGTTCTTCAATAAACTTTTCTCCTTTCATCCAATAGATCATTGGTCCAGACTCTCCACTGAATCCAAAGAATGCTTTGCAAGGGATGTTCAGGGGTTTACCTGAGAAAGAGAAAACACAATAAATGAGAAAATCTTGTGAGACATGAATGGAGAGCTGACATACAAAGGAAACCTCAGAGGTACCCTATTTTCCAACAGTTCTTGCATGTGATAAAAACATTATTATGAGTGATTTGAGGAAATTATAAAATTCAAGCTATTATAAATTTGAAAATTAAGTAAATTATTACTTTATGGCATTTTAATTATACTGCACCTCTCCCAAGAACTGATATGAAAAAAATCAAATGGAAATGATACCTAATTATTTTTCTTTTTTGAGACTACTAAGTATTACTTATGTGGATTTGCCTTTAAAATTAAAATTATTTAAGAGCATAAATTAATTCTTTATAAGAGAGAAGACATACCAATAATAGATTATCCACTATTAAGATCATATAGACTTTAATTTGTTTCTTCGTGTTATAATCTATTTTAAGAAAAATTATACAGAATGGTGGTTTAATTTTAGTGTTGACTTGAAAAGATTAAGGAATACCTCGATACCTGGTTACCATTATTTCTGGTCACATATTTGAGACTTTTTCAGAAGAGATTAACTTCAGAAGCTATGGGCAGAGTTGCAACTGTATACCCTGTGTAGTGCCCAGGTGGAATTGAAAAACAAGAGTGTGACTATAGATCTTGTTTTTTCTCTCTTCTCCCCACCTCTCTGAATGCAATGGTATGTACTTGTGAATGGGTATGGGGGACATAGGTCAATGTCAATTATCTTCTCTAAATTTTTGGTTCAGGGTCTTTTATTAAATCTGAAGTGTGTCCTTTCGGTTGGCAAGTGAGTCCCTGGAATCTGCTTGCCACTAACTTCCAGCACTGGGGTTATAACTGAGCTGTGCTGCCATGTTCAGGTTTTTGTATAAGTAAAGGGGATCTGAACTCGCGTCCTCTTGCTTATGCAGTAAGCAATTTACTCACTCAATGATCTCCCCAGCTCTATGATTGTTACTCTTGCTTTCCAACTTGCTGAGAATAAGAAACTTCTCAGGGATTAAGAGTATCTCCGCTTATGTTCCCAGTGCCAATATAAAGAAAACTAGATTACAGGGGCTTTGAAAATCACTTGAACTCTGTATGGATTTGTAATGATTGCAAATTTGGAGTTTGGTGAAATATGGGCAGTGAAGAATATTGGCAAAGTAGGTTACTGGTGATAGGCTGTTGAGCTATAGCATAATGTGTGCATCCCTTGCTATTTATTTCCTATATGTCAAGAAATAAAGAAGTATTTCTTTCACTGCAGCCTTCTTGTCACCATGTTTTCTGCCCAAGTTTTGTAGGAGGCCAAGCTACAAGGAACAGAACTGTATGAATGCATAAACCTAAATAAATCCTTCTTACTTAAAAGTTATTTTTCCCATTACTGTGATCACAGTGGCACAACAGTCACTAATGGAAAACAGTCCTAATAGAAAACTCACCCTCTCTCCCTCTCCTAGACCCTAGACACTCTTATTCCCCTGGTTTTGAATACTAGGACTAGTCTTCTCTTGCTCTTGGAGTGAAGGATATCCACCAATAGATTCAAGAGCTCTTATGTCTTCAACTTCTGCACTGAGAACTACACCAGGTACTTCCCTGGGTCTACGATTTCAAGACTTGCTACTGTCTTGGTTGTTTAGCTTGCAACAGTTTGCTGGCGTATGTCTCAATTTCCATAATCACAGGCATTAATACCCTTAATAAATTATCTGTCATCACATTGATTCTGCCTTTCTGAAGGACCTTAACTTATAAACTAAAAATTAAAATGTGAATTATGAACATGTCAATAAAATACATCTACAGGAAAAACCAACCTTGCCATATTTTCGGTATTCTTTAGATCATTTACTGTGCTTAAATAATTCTAGGCAAGATTTTCAGACTCTGTTATGTATATTTTAATTATAAATATCTCATCATATATATAGGTATTTATAATTTTGCTAGAAATAATTGTATTGTTTTTTCTTGCAAAGTAAATAAGTTTGGGAAGAATGGTATAGAAAATACAGTGCTGGCATTTGACACATGAATCCCTCAATTTATAATTATATCATAATATCTTAGTTAGGGTTTCTTTTGCTGCAATGAAACACCATGACCGAAAAGCAAGTTGGGAAGGAAAGAATTTATTTGGCTTACACATCAACATTACTGTTCATCACAGATGGAAATTAGGGCAGGAACTCAAACAGGGAAGGATCCTGGAGGCAGAAGCTACTAATGCAGAGGCTGTAGAGGCATGCTTCTTACTGGCCTGCTACCCACGGCTTGCTCAGCCTCCTTTCTAATAGAACCCAGGACCAGCAGCCCAGGGATGGCACCACCCACAATGAGCTGAGCCTTGTCCCATTGATCACTAACTGTGAAAATGCCTTACAGTAGGACTTGTGGAGGCATTTCCTCCACTGAGGCTCCTTCCTGTCTGATGACTCTAGCTTGTTTCAATTTGACACACAAAACCAGCCAGCACATAGCCTAAAGTTTTCTCCACAGACACATTTTCCATTGTTTAGAGGACTAGATAAAGCCACTTCAAAAATATTTTCTTTGTGTAGCTTCCACCCTTATTCTATGCCATAGACAAAGTCCTCATTCTATCTTAAATTTATCCATAGCTTCATGTTGTAATAACTACTATTTTCTGAATCCAAATATCTTTCTTCACTACAACTAGAAAATGACTTTCTTTGAGGATTATTTTCAGAAAGGAACAACTAAATAGGAGTTACAGTCTATGTGAAGATAATGTGGGGTACAGGGAATCCATAGACACACAAATATTGGGCAATAGGTTAGCCACGTAAAGAGATATATTGACAACTATTTATTTTATTATAATATTAACATATCCATTCTCAAATTTCAGATCCTGGACTTTTGGATTATTCTGTAGTTGCCAAATCTCTCAAGGTCAAGAATCTGTACAATATAATTGACACAAATTAGAGACCATGTATTTGAACACAAGGTTCATGTGACATCTGTAAAATTGATACAGTTGTACATTATAGAAAGTACACTGGACTAAAGTTCAGGAGAATTGGATCTTATATTTAGATCTGTCATGACCATTGCCCCTGTGCTGATGCTCCTAACTTAACTTTATATTAAGTAATTTCTTATGCATGCAATAACGTTGGTAATAATTTTGGAGATCTCAAAGAAGACAGTGCATATAAAAGTGCTTCATGAACTCAAAAACATCATCAGAAGTTAGCTCATTGTAGCCGAGTGGTGGTGGCACAAGCCTTTAATCCCAGTACTGGAAGCAGATGCCAGAGGAGGTGTACAATGTGAGGTCCAGGACAGCCATGGCTGTTAAATAGAGAAACCCTATCTCAAAAAAAAAAAAAAAACACTGAGTTTAGAGCTCAGTGTTTTTCGCCTTCTGAGATTTGATTGTCCATGGAGAAATTAAATTTGAGGATAAATCTGATATGGTCTTGAGACAGAGATACTTTCATTTTCACCATGTCCATCTTGTGTTCTTTTATTTATGAACATCTGTGGGACAATATATTTTCAACATTTTCTTGTAAATTTTTCTTGCATTTAGAATATGTATGATTCACCTGAAAAACAAACCCTATGTTTTCTAAACCTAAACATATTCTTCCCCCTAGGCCTTTTTTCTTTAATTCTTATGACATTGAAATTATTTAAGGAACAATAAACCAGATCACAGAAAGATCAATAGATTATGATAAACTTTATTATTAGAGATTCCAATTACTGAAGCTACCAGCATACACAATTATACATATAAATATTGGTTATTGTTCTTTTGAGCTATGTTGAAAAATATATAACATATGTGTATGTATATTAAAATGTCATTAAGTGTTTCTTAGTATGTGGGTGCCCATGACTGGAGTGATTTTAATGGAGAAAGACAATTATTTTAGTGTGTAAAAAAGGGGGCTTCTTGAAGTGCTTAAAAATAGCAGTGTGTGCCCTTTCCCTTGACACTGCACCCAAAGTACTAGCCATTGAAGCAATTTGTCTTGTAAGTAATTTTTCTCTTCCCATCAGAAAGATCCTTATTAAATAAACAGAAGAGACAGACATTTCAGAAGTTTATTTTATATAGTGTTGAGTAAATATCCTCAAGCCTTATGTTGATGGCCGCAAACAGTAAAACTGTTCAGCCATCATCTGTCACATTGGAAGCAGAGTTCCCAAGGGATCTTTTATCAGTTATGTTCAGTATGTGCTAAAGACTAGGGATCTCCTCTTCCAAGAGGTATGGAAGGATGTCTGCAATGATTGGGCAATTAATCTAAAACAGAATCTTTCTAGGTATCTCTGATACCTGCCCAATGTGTCAAACTCTATCTAGAAATGGCATCTGTTAGCTACTGTATTGTTTTGTCTCCAGACAGTTTGAAATTCATTCTGTAACTGTGTGTCTTCTTTGTAGAGATAGCTAATTCAAATTTACATCAAGCAGTCAGAATACTATCAAAATGAAAAGAACTTTTTCATTTGGTACCATAGTACTAAGTAATAAGGTAGGAGAGGTTTATTTTATTTTATTTTATTTTACTTTATTTTGTGAAAGCAGAGTACATGGACTGGCTGACTTTTCCTTTGCCTTAACATTACTTCAATTTTCTTTCTCAAAGAACTCTCTGAGAATCAGCATTTGGAAGATTGCTTTGAGACCTTGAAAATCTAGCAATCACAACGATCTTAATTATTTTGACAGTTATTACTTTACCGGATTTTGTCTTGAAACAGATGTACTCAAGATAAGGATGGGCTCAGGAGGAATGTCTCTAAAGTGGTAATACAAATATTTATATCCCATGAGATCCTCATCTCCCCTCCTTTTCCCTTTTCATCACCCATCATCTCCCCTTCACTCTCCCTCCCCTGCATTCCCATGCCCAGTTTCTGGAGATTAAATCATGACAATTGTTCTACTGTTCCTGAGCTCATGAAGCCTGGACTTTTCACAATGTGATTGTGTTATAAGAAAATTAAAATAGAACAAAGTCTGTGATGATTGTAATGGCAGTAGGGTTTGTGTGGGCCTATGTGCCCATGAGTGTCTGGGGTGACTGGGTATTCAGAAGTAGGTGGGAAAAAGGGTACAGCAGTGTTAGAGTGACGGAATTCACATGTTATTATTACAAACTCTTCGAAATAACAAAGATATCCACCAGTACTTTACTGATAAATATTTAACAACTTTTTCTTATAAATAAGTATTTATGTATGTATCACATACATTTATTATATATTTTACTGATAATAAAAGATGGGAAAACAATTTACACATAATGATAAGAATAAATGTAATGCTTTTGTTGTGACTATTGTGTACTTAATAGATTCTCACAGTACACTTTCATTTATTTGTAGAATTATTATTTATAGAATCTGTGCTTGCAATGAAAAATAAGTCCAAATATGAGTATTGGTCTATATCTTCTTTGACATTAGTGAGAAAGTTGAAAGTAAGACAATAAATGAATTTCAGAACTTCACATATTTTTCAGTTATGTGACTGACATGCTTTGATGACTTTGATAACAGATTCTATTTTGCATTTCAAATCCATATAATTACTCTTTGAAGAGCTTTAAAAGATCCTGAGATTGACACAGCAGATATGAGAGAACTGCAAGCCAGGGTGAAAATAAAGTGGCATTTGGCTTTCCACACATCTCAATATCATCCTCTACCAGGATTTCTAAGAATTTCTCAAGGGCAAAAACTTGCTAAACATAGCTGCCCCCATCTCTGAATTACAATTTTTGATATAGACCATGAGTAACTATCAGTGACTTATTTGACCACAATTTTTCTTTGTTTTTATCTTTAAACACTGATCAAACTCTTTTAATGCCTC